GTTTCTGTGATTCTGTGATTCTGTGATGTTTAGAGTCTTGAAGCTTGGCCTCCCCTCTGGAGAAGAAATGTGCAATAGGAAGATCAAGTTTTTCAATTGTGTGCATATATACATACATACAGACACATAAGAAAACAGGCACTGCTTCTTGAACAAATCACTCAAAAGAAAATTCCTTCTTTTAGGCACTTCAGCTCAGCAATAATAACAGTTCCAAGAATTAACACTCTTCGAGGACAGCTCTACCCGCAGAACAGAGAAACTACCAGACCTCTTTCCCCACACGTAACTGGCTGCACACAGAACGTAGATTCACACAGCATGTCTTTCCAAGACACACAACTTACATGCTGAGAAAAAAATCATTTGAAATGTCATATTGCTGCATTTGCTGGTGACACTGATCATACTATATTGTAATATAAAATACTTGATGATTTTTACTTGTCCTACTTGTTCTGGTGGAAGGTGACCAGTAGTTGGCCTCCTAAAACTTCGGTGAAGTGCATGGAGCTGCCTCTGCCCGAGCAAAGGGATTCCCCAAGCTTTGGAAGATGGTGCAGATAATCTCACCACGATTAATGTTCACTTTCATTGAACAAAGCCTGTTTTTTTTAGATCAGTGCAGCTATTTTTATTTTTATGTCCTCAAATATCACCTCACTAATTATACTGGATGGTCAGTTTACAAGCTGAAATGATCCCTTTCTCATAAGAAAATGGAAGTCAAGCAACTAGATGCAATTAAGATATGTCCATGTGTGGGATTTGAAAACAGAGTCATTTTGGAAGTTAAGTTTCTGTGTGGTCACTGTTAAACCCAGTTAACTTTGATAGCATCAGGATATAGTTTTAATTTAGTTTAGTTCAGCTTGTTAGAGAAAGGTTGCTACTTCAGGGGTTTTTTTTTGCTACTAAGTACTAGAGCTGAGGGATTTGAATATTTACAGAGAGCTGAATATATGGCATAATTTTTTTCATGAAACTCCCAACTGGAGATGGAAGTTACAAAATGTTTCCTTGAAGCTAATAATCCCTTGCATTTCAAGTGCTGACTGGGTTGGGTTTGCAAAATTAGCATTTCTTTAAAAAAACAATTGCATGCTTAAAATATCTGCAGTCAAGAGGAGGACAGAAGGCAGTTAAAGGATCACTTAAAAATACCAAATTATAAAAAAACAGCTTAAAAGGCTAAGAAATAAATCAGATCCTCAGATAAATAAATGAGAGCCATGCAAGTTTGCAGCAGAAGGTCTGGCTGGAAAGTTTCATATTATTTTTTTAAGAATAAAATCTTTCAAATCCAGGAATATTTCTAAGATTTCTTCTTACACCACGGAGACTTTGGTAAGTGCTTCACTTAAAGGTAACTTTGAATGATGCTGTTGGAGATGCATCCGTTTACTCCAGCTGCACCTCAGGAAGCAGCACATGGGAAGCAATACCCTGTACAGTACAGACAGAGCCAACAGAAAGGTTTTATTCTCCACCTGGTTGCAGTAGATGCAATCAGTCCTGAGTTCTGTATAGTTGGCTTCTCCACTGATCATCCACTGCTTGGAAAATTACTGTGTTGTCAAAAACAGTGACTGGGAGGCAAATTACACAAGTGTTATGAGAAATTGCTCTGTGCTCCAAAGGCCAGTATTGGAGAACGTAACCGAACACCAAACACCCATTGCTGTTGGCTTTACCAATAACATTCATACTCATGACTTCCCTGACTCAGAGAAACTTTAGCAAGCATTAGATACTGAGCACTGCCACCAGAGACGGCACACAGAGTAGACAGATCAGTGATCTACTCAAAAGCAAACCCCTGATTTTTTTATCAAAACCCTTTTAACCAAAGTATATATCATGTTTGTTCTATTCTTTTGCTTGCTATATTCCATTTCTCTTAAAAGAAAATACAATTATTATTTGAGCATTTTTTTAGGTAAGTGACAGGAAGAAAATTTCACATGGGTGAAGAGCCAGAGTGGTGATGGCTGCTGTGTGTGTGCTAAGCAGAGGATGTGAACTGGCAGAAGCAACCTCCACCCATCAGCTCTGTGCTTCTCCACATGGCTGTGGTCCTGGACACAACCTCCCCACAGCCCAAGCAGTCACCTAGAGAATGACAACACCACGCCCCTACCTTGTTTCAAGTACACAAAGATGTATAAAGCATTGCTTTGAGAGAATAGCAACTGCTACACTTCCCAAAAGGTGCTCAGAGAGGCACAGATATTAGGGCACAATAATGATCCCCAGGCATGACTTTTCCCCAAATCAAGAGTACATTCACATTTACATCTATCACATCAGGACAAGGTAATAACTTCAAGCTTATCCAGAAAATTGGAGGATAAAAATTGGATGAATGGCATAGAGTTTATTTTTAGTTTGGATTCTTCCCATTCTATTTAGAGTATGAAGCCCAGAGGCAACAACAACCAAAAAAAAAGCCCCATGAAAATGAGTTTTGCATTAACATCTAGGTGAGCCAGTGGATCACACTACAAAGCAGCAACAAGGGAGCTTTGGGGAGCTACAGCCCAGGTGGCACCATAGCCACACTTAGATGAATGCTCAGTGTAAGCACACTTTCCAAGCACGAGGAGCAGGAGCTCAGGTATGAGCTAACAGATTGCTTGTATAAAACATGTACAAGTCCTCAGGCAATTAAAGTTACGAGTGTGCAATGATACCAAACCTTTGACTCTCCTCATGATCCCACCCAGATTTCCATTTCACCCCATTTAGCTCTCATTGGTCATTCTCTCTTTGGCCAGAAACCTCAAGTAAACTCAAACTAATACCCATTCTTCCCTGTCTGTCATGTCAACAACTCAAATATTATTTCAAACAAGGAAAAAATGGGCAGAGCAAACCTGAAAGAAACTCACCAGTCAGACAAAAACAAGAAAGATCTGTTCCTCAGCTCTGAGCAATTTTCAAGAGATTGGGCATTATCACAGTGTTATATTAGCAGTTGCATGATGTGATGATTCTTGTGAACTTAATACACTTTGGTTAACTATGAGAAGCTATGCTAATGTAGTGGTAGCTGTAAAAGACGTCATCATCTAAGGCACTGGACAGTACAGCAAGAGGCAAACAGTAAAAACATCAAAGGCATGTCCCAGTATAAAGCCAGGGCCAAGCTTTACTGATGTTTCATTTGCTGTGGGATATGGGATGTGTAGGCAGTGATGAAGAAGTGTTCATTTATAGCAGAAAAATTTCACATTGTTGAGTGCTGTGTTATCCTGAAGCCCCTGTGGGGGCTCTACCCTGGTCTGGAGACTGCATATGTTGCAGCTTTTGCTCCATGGGCCAAATCTACCCCACGACAGTCCACCACCTACTAGTACAGTTGCATCTGAACATCTGAACTGGATGTTGTTGGCTGCTGTGTCATCACCTCCTCCTTAGGACTTCTCTGTTCTCAGTGAGAAGGTAATCAAGTAGCCTCCAGGGCAAACTTGGAAGCTGGTCCAGGTACCCCACCTGACAAAAAGCAGACAGAGGAATATCTGGCCTCTGCAAACTCCTGGGAAGTGCTCCTTCTCCTTCTCATGCTGTCCTGAAGCTTAACACTTCCTTGCTCACTGCGGTGACCAGCACAAGATCCTGCTGCAGCCTGGGGCCCCTTACTTTCTCCTTCTTTTTTTCCTTCCCTTACAAGGGTGTACTTTTCTCTTTATTGGTATCTCATCAGAAAAACACCAGGAAGACCAAGATTGGATAGTAATGGTTCTGGTGGAAACTCCAAGGGCAGCCTGAGCACATGTTTTATCCCTGAGTGGTCTGACAAGTACACACCAGTACACACAAGTACAAGTACACACAGCAGGGAGAGCAGTCGCTGCCGGGGTGCAGAGCTGTTCACTGCAGCAGGGCCAGGGCTTCACCCAAACAGTTTCTAAACGTGTGGCTAAAACCCCTTTTCTCTCATTTGCCCCATGTGTTGCAGATTTCCAAAGAAGGACTCATTCCCTAGGACTATACTTCGTGTGTTCACAGTGCTCTGCAGAAATTTCAAGAGGAAACAGAAGGCAGTAACATGTAGTAACTGCATTTAGTTACCCTAAAAATAAATGAACAAAAATCCCAACCACCTGTTTTAATTTACTTTATGCTCCAGCACTACACAGACAAAACAAGTCAGAAAAGAGACCCCTGCAAATGGTGACACCTATGGACATTTTGTGAGCTGGTGCATGACAACCAAGGGAGAAACCAGTTTTACCTACTCCCCCACCAAGGACTCGATGACTGTGTCATCTTGACAATGCAGGTGTATGCTGTTCAGAGCTGTGTCATCTCTTCCAAACTGGGAGGGCTCCACCTGCAGTAGAAGTCATGCAGGGACAGAAGTAAAGGCAAGAGGGAGAAGACCCAGGAAAAGTCCTTTAAGTGCCAGTTATATACAGTCCCAACGCCTTTCTGTAATAAGAAAGAGAAAATGTCTTGACAAGCACATGGGAAAAGATGTCTGTCACTGGGAAACTGCAATGTACCTACATAACCCTTGTAACATGTTCTTCTTTGTGTTTTCTAACTGTTCCTGACCCAACATGTAAGGCAGAGACTCTGAGTCCCAGGAGAGAAACTGGAGGAGGCTGCTTCTCTCCCTGACTCCAGCAGCAGATTTCAGCACTGGTGTGGCTTCTCCCAGCAACATCAGCCACATGCAGACTGTGCATCTACAAGCACATTCTATCCAGATTGAGAGCGAAACAATAGTAGCTGAGTAGCTCTGTTTTTGCTGTATCTAATGCGGGACCTCTGGTCCTAAAAGAAAAAAAAAAAAACAATGTATTTTTCTTTACTGGTGTAACTACAGTTGCAACGTTTTCTGGGCTAAATTTTCCAGAAGATGCGTAGTTTTATGTACAGAGTACCATACTCAGGAAGAGGAAAAACTCTGCAAAAAGCCCGTAGACTCTGGAGAAGACCCTCCTGGGAGGCGGAGAGCTGTAGACCAGTGTGCAGGGACAGGAGATGGTGGGAAAGAGGGAGAATTTTACCTTCAGCACAAATCCATTGGCATAGCCACAGCGGCAAAATTGCCAACTCCTCCACTTGCCCCAGTGGCCTCCAGCATTCACGCGCTCCTGTGCCCAGGGTGCAGAGGGAGATGGGCAGGATAAGGGTAGCTAGCATGAAAAGCTTCATCTCTTGCATTCTGCACCTGCTGAAGGAGAGCTGGTATGTGGACAGGGGAATTTATTCCCTGCCGAGGCACCTTGCTTTTCCCCACCAGTCCATCGACAAACACCGTAGGAACCATAGTTTCCACCTGGGCAGGGACACAGCACTTGCTGACCAGCTCGCAGTGCCCGTGAGGAGCTCCCGTGGGAGGAGCAGATGCTGTGGCTGCAGTGGTATCCACCATCACTGAAGGGTTATAGTGAGACCTGAGTGCCCCTTGCAGTGCTCGTGGTGCCTGTGGAGCAGCTTGGCAGAGGTTTGATATCAATTCCTGCAGCCATGGGGATCATAGAATTATAGATTAGTTTGGGTTGGAAGGGACCTTTAAAAGTCATCTAGTCCAACCCCCCTGCAATGAGCAGGGACATCTTCAACTAGAGCAGGTTACTCAGAGCCCCGTCCAACCTGACCTGGAATGTTGCCAGGGATGGGGCATGTTTGCCTTTTGAGGGAAGCTGTCATAACCATCTTAGTTATTGATGGGTGTCTGGCTTCGTATAGGCTAACCTATACAAAGAAACATAGGGGACTTGGTCTGGAACAAAGTATAAGTAAACTCAAGCCTTATGTCTCCCAACACTCTCTGTTGAATAGGATTCCTGATAAGCTTGACATATGTGTAGGCTCTTTATGGTTTCAGTATCATTTTTTTCACACTGATTTTTTTTTATTTATTTTTTTTCACTGTGATTTTTATTTTAATAAAAGACACTGTGCTTTGCGAGAAACTTAACTGAAGTCAGGCATGCTGGGATGCCCACAGTGATTCTTAGAGAGACAGCAAAATAAATGTCATTGGGAGGGGGAGATGGAAAGCAGGTTTTCCAGAAAGGTGATACTGGACTTGAGTGCAGAGTCTTTGAGGATGCCAGGATGCAGGGAGAGGTGAAACCCTGGAGTTGAGACTTTTTTAACATACAGATAACCAACGCTCCCTAGGGCCCCTACTCAGGCTTGCAGGGTCTGGCAGAAGCTGTTTCTCTGTTCAAGAGGAAAAGAGGAGAATACATTTGATGAAAGTATCTCGAGGCTCAGGATTTTATAGCAAGATGGGGTGCCAAACCTTGAATTATCAGAAGACAAAGAGTCTCCCTCCTCCAGGCTTCTCTTTCAGTGTCTGCTCTGCTCCTCTCTGTTCCTGTCCCATTAAGAAGCGATGTTGTCTTTCCCACCCTCGGCTCTGTACTCCCCTTCTGCTTGTCAGTGCTTTGTGCAGGTAACAATATCTGCAAACGGAGGTGATGGGCAGCTGGACGAGCCTTCCGCTGGAAGGCACCCAAACAGCACAGCATGTGACGGAGGCACAGCCTGTTTTCCTTTTTAAACCAGGACTTTCATCTTACTTCTCCAAGGGGGTGTCAAAACCCAGAGGAAACATGCTTTGCCCTACAAGGACTGTGCAATCACAGCTGGCGAGCCAGATGTGTTTGCTCAGGCAGGGGCACATGGTGGCAGCCGGGGACACCCAGACCTGCCCTTGGCTGCACATGAGTAGAAAGGAGCAGAAGGAGTCAGAAAGAAGCGGCTGGGACCTGGTATTAACACCACAAAAGAAGCAGCAGGATCCCCACATTCATTTCTCCTTTGCTGGCCCGAAACCAACGCCCTTGGCTGCTTGACCTCTGGCAGCAGTGATGCAGATGTCCTGGCAGGACCCACCTCCCCTCAGACTGCTCCGATCAGGAGATGCCCATCTCCTCCCAGCCCCAGAGGGAGAATCCCAGGGCACGGTGAGCCCAGAGTGCGACCAGGGAGCAGGGTGAGGCAGAGGCCACCTTCAGGGATTTGGCCATGAGAAATGACTCCTCCGCACACTTCAGAGGCCCCTAAGAAAGCTCGAGCCCAGGACGAGCACTGTCACTCTGGGGCTTGGGAAGTACCGTTTTCCCCATTCACAACCAAAGAAACTACCTGGTAACCTGGGCTGCCAAATGTGAGGTTCCTTGGACTTGATTTCAGAGTACATTTAATATGTAAAAGCAGAGCTGCCATTGACACTTGCTAATTTCGTTTGGATGCCTCGAAAACTTTTCTAAGATCAGCTTACCTGAAATACCAAAATAAAAAAACTTTACAGTGGTGAGATCCGGACCTCTTACTGACACACGTACCCTACTTTCTTGCCCCTCTCCTGTATTTTAAAATCCTTGAAATAATGTCAGAACACAGTTTTAAAGAAAATTGGTAAACTGATGAATTTGATTAATAAAACATGACAAGAGTAAAATGATGATGATACAGGGTATTTCATCCTTTCATTATTCATCCAGATGAACACAGTTATTTTTGCAAGCAGAGAAGTATAAAAATTACGCCACTACTTTTCAGCTTTTATAAATAGTTCTAAAATTTTAAAATAAACATATTAATATAATTTAGTATATTAGTTTCATAAAATTATTATTTTTTTCTTATGACATATTTAAAACCTAATCAAACATGAAAAATAAATGTGTATCTATAACATTTAAAAACATATACTATACAAAATTGGCCTTATTTTATGATGTTATTGAAAAAATTACACATTAGCAACTGTTGAAAATTAATTCATTTTTAATTTTCAAAAATGAAAATTAATTTCATTTTTACCCTTGAAAATACACTTAGGAATACAAACTTTATTTGGCACCATTGTGTGTTGCCTTTCTCATATTCTCAGTTTCTCATATTCGTGTATATCTTCTGCTACCCAAAGAACAATGATCATTTGAGAGGCTTCCCGGACTGCCTAGCCTCTTCCTACAGCTTTTGAAAAGCCAGCAACAGGCTGTGAAGTCGTGCAAGACCACACCTGCTTCAATTTTCTCACTCCCGTTTCAGTCTCCAGCGGCTCTGCTCTCCATTTGCAGCCCACGTACTTCTACCCTGCCCCTGATGGTCTGTCAGAAGCCCTGCAAGCCCGTGCAGACCCTGATGAATTTCAGCGTGGTACTCTCTGTGTTCTGAAGAAGGTCATGCACTAGGGTCATTTCTGTTTTTTAGTTTTTTTTAAATTGTGAGGATTGGGCATTTTTAAAACCTATTAATTATTGTTATGATTTCTGTGGAAGGCAGAGAAAATCAGTTCCTATCACCTCCTTTTACTATGTGTTTTGTAGAATTTCCTGCAAAGGGTTAAATATACTAATTTAGAAAAAGTTTGAAGTTGCTTTTATCAACAAGAGATAGAAGTAGAAATGAGCATTCTATCATAACTTTCAGCTATTCATATTATCCTCTGTCTTGGACATTTTTACTCCTCTCTTTGCAGGATCCAGCTCACACCAGAAGTTTCCAGGAGCAGGGAGGGGTCTAGTATGATGGTTAGCCAAGGGACAGAAACAAAGAACAATCATTGTACACTGATGTCCACAACTCAGAAACACACTTGAATCAGCCCGTCAGATACAAGCAAGAACTTCTCCATTCCAGTCTGTGGAATTAAAAAAAAAGTTTCAACATGAAATCTTCTTTGTGTGACCTGGATTGAGGTCCAGGAACTACATCTGCACATAGATCATCTGTTAAGCTGCCAGCAGGTCCTCTGGGCTTGGGAGGTGAAAGCAACTGATGATGAATTAATTTTCTCTGCAAGTGAATAAAACCTAGAGGAAACTCAGGTGGATTGAAAACTGGCTGAACATCTGACAGTGGATCCAGAGAGTGGAATGAAGTCTAGTTGGAGGCCAGGAACTAGCATCGTACCCCAGAGGTCAGTACTAGGTCCAATCCCATTTAACATCTTCATCAATGATCTGGTGATGGGGCAGTGTACTCTCAGCAAGTTTGCTGACAACACAAAACTGGGAGGAGTGGCTGAATGCTAGGGGGTTGTACTGCCATCCAGAGGGACCTCAGCAGGCTGGAGAAACAGGCCAACAGGAACCTCATGAAGTTCAACAAGGAGCAGTGCAAAGTCCTGCACCTGGGGAGGAACTATCCCATGCACAACTACATTCTGCTGGACACCTTGCTGGAAAGCAGCTTTGCAGGAAAGGACCTGGGGGCCCTGGTGGACACTAGGTTGAACACGAGCCAGCATGTGGTCTTGCAGCAAAGGCGGCATAGGAATCTTGGGCTGCATCAGGCAAAACATTGACAGCAGGTCAAGGGAGGTGATCCTTCCACTTTACTCAGCAGTGGTGAGGCCACATGTGGAGTGCTGTGTTCATTTCTGGGATCCTCTGTACAAAGGAGACATACTGGCAAGAGTCCAATGAAGGGTCATGAAGATGATTAAGAGACTGGAACATCTCTTCTATGAGGAAAGCCCTAGAGAGCTGGGACTGTTTAACGTGGAGAAGAGAAGGCTCTGGGAGGATCTTATCCATGTATATAAATACCTAAAGGGAGGATGCAAAGAGGGTGGAGACAGGCTCTTTTTCAATGGTGCCTAGGGACAGGACAAGAGGCAACGGTCACAAACTGAAACACAGGAGATTCTCTCTGAACTTCAGAAAACATTTTTTTTCAGTGAGGATGTCTGAGCGCTGGCACAGATACCCAGAGAGGTTGTGGGGGTCTCCATCCTTGGAGATATTCAAAAGACATCTGCACATGGTCCTGAGCAACCTGCTGGAGGAGGCAGTTGGAGCAGGTGATCTCCAGAGGTCCCTTCAACCTCAACCATTCTCTGACTGTCATTCTGTGAACTGGAAGGGAGTTGACAGGAACAACAAGTCAGGGTAAATGCCCATGAAGATGATCTCAGTGATGTGTTTTGACTGAGCCATAGGAAAGGTTGAAGGCAGCAATTGCCCAGGAACTCAGTAGAGGAGTGGAGGTAGAGAGCATTCACCAAAGAAGTCAGTAAGTACAGAGCGACAGTTTTGGCTGAGTAACTGTGTGTTTGTGTGCTCCAGGCCATTTTATACTCCTCCCACTCTGTTACCAAGATACTGGTTGCCACCCATCAGCTCTCAGTAGCCATATTCCTCAGGAGCTCTAATGTCCAAACTGACCATTACAATTAGATATAAATCAGGTGTAAATCACACAGCCTGGCTCTGTCAAACCTCCCCCACTTGCAGCTTGGGATGAGGATGAGACACTCCATGGATAACTACATCCTGCAAAAAAAACACACTATCTCATGGAAACAGTACATCAGCAAACCCAGAAATCACACCTATTGCCAAAGAAACACGAAAGGGCAATAAAGAATCTATTCTATTCTATGAAAGTACATATAAGCAAAGGGTT